ACTGACTGCACTTCAATTAAAAAAAAGTAGAAAGGATAGCAAAGAACCATGCCCACCTGTGGAACCAATGCCAATTTCCTGGTTTTGCTATTATATTATAGTTAAGTAAGAAGTGAACGTAGGGAGAAACTGGAGGAATAGGACTTGGGATCTCTTTGCATTATCCTGAGAATCCATCGTTGTTTCAAAATAGAAAGTTTAAAAAACTACTCTTGTTCAGGAGAAAGAAACAACAGCAGATATTTTACAGGTTCTAGCTTACTCCGAGATGTTGTGAATCAAAACTGCAATGTGGTTGACGAACTAACGCTGATGTGGCCAGGATTAATGGAAGTATAAAATTCCAAGGAGGGACTGTAGAAGTACTGCTTTATTTTGTTCAGGTCAATCCATATCTGAAGTGGCAAGTTCAACTCTGGGTCTGCCAGGCTTCCAGATTAACAGCTGCACTGAATGACAACGAGACAGAATATCCAGACTAGGGCAGCCCTGTTGTGTAAGAAACTGTTGAAGGAGGCTACAATAGTTAGCCAAGAAAATTACAGACTTCCATGAGACATAACAGCTCAAACACTCAACAGACTGTCATCTGGTGATCAAATTTAGGTGAGTCTTTGACATCCCTTTAGCTACAATAAACTTACACTTTCTCTTCACAAAATGCCAGGAGTATTTTTAAAGAACATTTAGGAAAACCACTTTAGCTGCGTTGAAATTTATAATTTTTTACAACAATTGAAGCAGAATAAACCTAGGACATCAGAATGTTCTCCCGACTGAATCTTAACGGTTATTTCACTCTGTTTGAAAATGGCATTACTTTTAAGGAGTCTCCACTTTATTACCACCACCTTCAACCACTTCTTCCTGAAACTGTCTCAAGAGCTATTAAGATAGAGGATCTATGACTCAGAGGTCTGTCAGCCTTTCAGATGGAGCCAAGACGTTTTTATTAAATATTCGCCTTGACTAGCAAGGATGGGAGCATCGCACCTGACCTAAGGAAGGAAAGGAAGATGGATTTAAGACTGCAAGGTTAATATTGCTACCTCTTAATATTAGTTTATATTATACACTGCAATGAAGTTTAGACCAAAGTTTAAAAAGAAAGAAATCACTAGCACTTTGCTTTAAGCAAAGGCTATAAAAAGTATGAAAATGAAACGCAATGAAAAGAATCTTGCAGACACTGGTTTTCATATCCTGATCATGACGGAGGCCTTAACTGAGCAGTCTCACTGTTGTGTGTCTTTTCAGGCTGCTGATGAATTTTTCCATTTCTGACCCAGCAGAGAGCTTGAAAATCAATGTACTGCTTTGGTCCAAAAAGTCAAACAAAAGTGCTGAACATCACCATGAACCAGAAACACAACAGAAAACATTACTCTTCCTTTGAACAAAGCCAGACTCTTGTTGCACCTGGCGTGGAGCGCGCTTGTGGCTCTGGACAGCGGCCGTCTGTACAAACTCACAAGGGAAGTTGGCTCGAGAAAAGGATGAAGCCACGAAGGGACTTTGCACACTTAGGATGTGCCAGCTTTTTACCCGAGGGGATTGTGCTAAGGGAACTTTGCGCATACGAAGGCTCACAGCCACCTTATTCAACAGGGAATACTACTGTTCTCCTCATTTCACAGATGAAGAAACTGGGACTTAAAGAGGTTAAGTCACTCCCAAGGAGACCCAGCTGGAAAGCGACAGAGGTGGGATTCCAACCCACATCTGCCTTGAGTCCAAAGCCCACGCTCTTAACTAACCACGTCCTACTTCATGATCACTGAACATGAGAACAGCACCCATTCTCCCTACCCCCATCTGGAAGACCAAAGGCTCAGAAAGTTGAGGAGACTTTCCCAAGGCTGGCTGGTAGCAGAGCTGAGGTTTGAACCACGATCTTCTGACTCGCAGGCCAGGATCTTCCTGCCGTGCATGGGACCACTCTGTCCGGAAGGCTAAAAGCTGAGAGTGAGTGTCACCAAACTCTAGGAGATTCCAAAGGCTAAGGAGAGAATAAACTTAGACTCTTCCAGAACCCAATAGTATAAAAACACTCGGACCAGGACCCGTTCTGGAAGCTTGAGAGAGATGCATTTAGAACAAGAAAGGGAAGGGCTATTGTGTTCACATGGCAATGAACTTACAAAACTTACGGCCCCTGAAAAGCAGCAGAGGCTGAGAACAGAGATCCAAACAAGGTGGTAGCTTTTATTTATTTATTTTTTTGACATACTATGTGCTAAGCACTGTTCTAGGTGCTTTTATGGGCTGAACTGTGTTCCCTCTGAATTTTTCTCTTAAAGCTTTAAGCCCTATAACCTCAGAATGTAACTGCATTGGTGACAGGACCTTGAAAGGGGTGATCAAGTTCAAATGAGATCATCAGGGTGAACCCTAATCCGGTCTGACTGGTGTCCTTATGAAAAGAGATTAGGACACACAAAAAAACACCAGGGGTGTGTGTGCACAGAGGAAAGGCCACGTGAGGACAAAGCAAGAAGGTACCACCTGCAAGCCAAAGAGAGAGACATCAGAAGAAAGCAATCCTGCTGACACCCTGATCTTGGGTTCTACCCCCGGAACCATGAGAAAGAAGTTTCTGTTGTCTCAGCGCCGGCCTGAGGACCTTCGCTACGGCGGCCCCAGCAAGCCGGGACAGGGCTTTACAGCCACGCGGCCATCAATCCCTACTGCAGCCTTTTGCTGTAGGAACTACTACCATTATTGCCATCCTACAAATGAGGACCTGAGGCTTAGAGAGGTTAATTAACGACGTCAGTGTCACTTCACTAGCAAGTGGCAGGGAAGGGATAAATTCATGAATGACAGACCTAATAGATTATCAGAGGAGTCTGGGTCCTGCCCCCAACCTTAGCAGGCAGACTTTGAGATAAAGACGAACCCATCTCATACACCATTTTGCTCTGGACCAGGTGGATGGGGGCCATGGGCTAGTGTGACAATCTGTGTTGGTATATGAAACGTTGAGGAAGGCGCCTCTGAATAACACACAGAACATCTGGGGTCAAATCCAGTCTCCAGGGCTCTTCTAATCCCCAGGTATTCTTTTTTTGTTTGTTTAATTCGGGGTAGGGGGGTAATTCGTTTTATTTATTTGATTATTTGTTTAATGGAAATGCTGGGGATTGAACCCAGGACCTCAAGCATGCTGGGTGCTCACTCTACCGATGAGCTATACCCTCCCCCCAGCCCCCAGGTATTCCTGAGCAACGTAATTTCCAAATCTGTTTTCTAATCTGTGGAAAGGGAATATCTGCCTACTGCTTTTGGGTGTTGCTTTAGTGACATTAACGTTTCACAGCTCTCGCCGGCTGTATTAGAGCTGGCTTTAATATCACTCACCCTTAGCACAGGTCCCTTGCATGTGATTGGCTCTCCAAAAACGCACAAGGGATGAAGATGGAAGTTCTCGGCGTACTGTGTAAAGAGAAGACTCTCTGGCTGACACAGAGGAAGACCATTCTATCATGTTTCCCTTTTTTCAACCCTGGTCCCGAAAGGGTAGAAAGTTGATGAGTCTAGAAGCAAAGCCCAGGGCCCAGGTAGCCCCAGGGGAGATCGCAGAGGAGAGGGCTGTCTTCTGCTCCGTTTGCATGATGCTCGCATCCTTCACCTTCTGCACGTGTCTGAGTGCGTGACAGTTCTTCCCATGTCGCCTTCATCAGTAATCTATTGCCTCTGCCCAGAGGTCCTTGATATCCACCAATCTGTACAAAGGAGCAGGAGGGAGCTCTACAAATGGAAATGGAAGCCTTTGTTCATGTCCTTCCCTAGAATCAGTTCCAAATCCCTTTTCCAAAAGCCGTAATGGGTCCCTAGGAGTAAAGAGTCTACCTTGCCTTCCTGGCCCACCATGCCAGCAAGGGAGGAGAGGTGTTAACACCCAGAATAAACACTCAACAAACACTTTCTCAATGATGCAGAGGGTGTGGGTGAGCCTCTGTGGTCCAGCCATTCTGCTCCAAAACAATAGCAGAGTCAGTTGGGGAAGGTATGGCTCAGTGACAGAGTGTATGCTTAGCATGCACGAGGTCCTGGGTTCAACCCCCAGCACCTCCATTTAAAAATACATAAATACATAAATAAACTTAATTACCCCCCCAAAAAAAAGGGCAGTCATGCACCCACTTATTTGTTTATTCATCAACGTAGTCATTCATTAAACGTGTATTAAGTGCACTCTACATGCCAAACACCATTCCAGGTGCCGGGCTACAGCAGAGGACAAGATGGGTGAAAGTCCCTCCTCCTGTGCCACCTGCCTGCTCCGTGGGAAGAGGCAATAAGCAAAATCAACGTAACTTGTGAGGCGAGTAAGTCTTATGGAGAAAAATGGACCAAGAAAGGAGATGAGAAAATGCTGAGATCAAGGCCTAAAGCTGAGAGAGTAGAGTAAGCGAGAATTAAGGGAAGAGCACTTCAGGAAGAGTCTTGGGGGTGGACCTGGCGTCTCCTGGAGCAGAGTCAGCAAAGCAACAGCGTGACAAGTCACAGGGAGAGCCTAGCAGGCCACTGTGAGGACTGTGGCTTCTACTCTGCGTGAGAAGGGCAGCTGTTGGGGGTTTGAACAGAAGAATGACCTGATCTAAACTACAGTTTTCAGGGAGGAGGGTATAGCTCAGTGGTAGAACACCTTAGCACGTGCAAGGTCCTGGGTTCAATCCCTGGTACCTCCATTAAATAAATAAGTAAATAAATGAATAAATAAGTAAATCTAATTACCCTTCCCCCCTCAAATTTTCTTTTAATTAAAAAAGAGTGATAATAAACTACAGTTTTCTAGGATGGTTCTGACTGCTATGGTGAGAAGAGACGGCCGGGCTGGGAAGGGAGCACACAGCAGGAAGCAGAGGGGTCAGGAGGCTGCTGTGATAATCCAGATAAGAGCTCAAGATGGCTTGGAGGAGGGCGACTGTGCTCAAAGTGGGGAGAAGTCACTGGGTTCTGGGTTCCATTTGGAAGGTAAAAATCAAACAGCATTCGCCACCAGTCTTGTTGTGGGACGTGAGAGTCACAGGAGAGCCTGGGAAGGATGAAGTCACCACGAACTGGGAAGAGGAAGACTCTGGAAGAACAAGTTGGGAAGATGGAGGACATCGGAACGTCATCTGGGGGATGCTTGGCGGGCGATGCCCTCAGATACCGGATGGGCGATGACAAGCGGGCAGTCGGCTATGTGAGGCTGCAGTGCAGGGGCCAGGTCTGAGCTAGAGGTGTAAACGGGGGGTGGGCAGGATTTCATGGCATGAATGGTCACTGGACTGGATGGAAACAGTCAGAGTGAGGCTAGATGGAGGGGGGACGAGGCTCCCCGCCTGAGCTCTGGGGCATGGCAGCACCCAGCAGCAGAGGAGGAGGAGGAACTCGAGGACGGCGGGAGGGAGCCCTGGAGGCTGGGGCTTCCCCTGTCCCCTTGCTGCTCTCTCCCCAGCTCTCACTCTCCTTCTTCACTCTCCGCCACTCTCAGCCTTGCTCTTAGGTAAACAAAAATGTTTTCTATCGAACTGCGTGAGCCAAAACAGATATTGACTAGGTAAACACTAGCCTTTTAATTGGGTGACTCTTTTAAAAAGGCACAGACCTCTCTTCAGGGCATTCCTTGCAGCATGTGGATCAGCCGGAGCATCAACTCTGTGGGTTCTGTGGCCCCGCCTGCCAACTGGTGTTGAAGATTTCCTCATTAGTGTTGCTGCTCTTATTGCTCAGGGAGGCTTCAGCCCCCGCCGCACCCCTCCCTCCTTTCTTCTCCCCCTCCACCCCCTGAGCCAGAGGGCAATGAATGCTCACATCATTTCACTTCGGTCCAGCTGCCAGGCTGGGGAACAGATGTTGTATTGTTAACACCAAGAAGAAAACAAACAGCCTCGCTCCTCTGTGTTCTCCAACCTCCCCGCTCCCCTGGTGAGAATGGGCAAACAGTGCTGGGGAGAGGAGAGGCTGGGCCTCTAGTGAGCGATGCCATCCTCCCCGGCCAGGGCTGAGCCCTGACTGGAGGTGCACAGAGCGTTCTCCCAGGCCCTGTTTACAGCAGACACGGGTTCTGTCAGCTGAGCGGCTGGCTCGTGGCTGGTGACGTGAAGATGCTCGCACTGAGCGGGGCATTGAGAGAAAGAAGACAATGGCCCTCTTCTGCATGTGGCCCCGGGAATGCATTTACCTGCGTTTGATGAACAAAAGCTAGGACCAAAAGACAATTTCAAAGGCAAAAGGAAATGATTCCTTGGCCGAGGTCCGTTGCTGTGTGTCTGACTGTTTCTCCTTTGGAAACTTGTCAGAGGCAGAGTAGGGGGATGTTTCTTTCTTTTCTGGTGACCAGAGGTTTAAATGCTTCTGGCTTTTTTTTTCCCCACTTCTCATGCAGGTCTGAGAGTTTGCGGGCTCGGGGGAGGGGAGTAAGCAAGGACAGTCCAAAGAGCGAAGGCTAGGATGAAGCAGCACGTGGAGCGGGGGAGACCGAGTCGGGGAGAGCAGCGTGCGCAGGACCGTGGCGGCGAGGCTCAGTAGCTGGACTTCCCTTCCAGGTGCTAAGTGGCAATGGAAAAATTTTAGGCAGGAGAGTGACATACAGGAAGCAGACACTCGGCTCTGTGACGGGCGGCAGGGAGGGGGAGCTTGTGAAGAGGCTGCTGTCACAATCCGGGGAGCAGGCAGAAAAAGCCGTATGATTCCGTTAGAGCTGGCTCACCTGTTGTCAATGAGGCAAAATCACAAGGGCTTAGGACCAAGTGGGTGTGAAGAGGGGGTGGCTGGGGATGACCAGGGCTATAGTAAGAGCTTATTTCTGGTTCTAAGCCCTGAAAAAGTTGTGCCCACCCACCACCCTGTATACATCACTCAGAATAAAATAGGTGTGAGGAATTCCAAAAAGCCTCCTTTTTATCCTAGGGATGGCTACGTAGATACTTTTTTTAAAACACTAAACTCTTTGCAAATAATTTTTTGGCACCCTGGTTCTGTTTTCTTGGTGTTTCAAGCATGTGCCTTTTCGTGCTTACTGGACAGCCTGGCACTGGGAGGGAGCTGTGAAGTCGGCGTGCGGGCCGCTAGGTGGATGGCACGCTTCGCACAAAGAACAGAGATGCAGGGAGAGAGGAAGCAGCGGGCGGAGCGGGGATGATGAGCTCAGCCCTGGACGTGTGGGTCTGAAGTATCAATGGAGACAGACACTGCTGGAAGCCAGCTGATCAGATGCGCCTGGAGCGGAGGTGGCGGGGCTGGGCATCGTCGGCATCATCAGCATCACAGGGTGGTGGGGGGGGTGATGGGAGAGCGTGAGGTCATCCAGGGTGACTGTGTGGAGGGAAAGGGAGAGGGCCTGGAACAAACCCTCCAGAAAACTGGCATTTTTAGGAACTGGATAGGAAAAAGAGTCTGAGGATGAGTCTCCAGGAAGATGGAAGCAGATTCAGGAGGCAGAAGAGCCCCCAAAAAAGGAATAAGGAGTTTCAAGGAGGAAATAATCAACGGCATCAAATGTGACAAGTCAGATAAGAGGGTGGGAAGGGCTGATGAGCACCATCGCACGTAACATCACAGAGGTCACTGTTGGCTTATTACTGAGAGTGATTCCTGAGGACCAGGATATGGGGAAGGATGTGGGAGAAGCCAACGAGATGATGAAAAAAGAGGCAGGGAGTTTACTGCGTTATTAGCAGTCGCTGTAGAAGAATGGAAGGGTGAGGCTGAGAGAGAGTATTATGCAAAGATGGCAGAGAGCACGTTCATATTTCATTAACACTTGCCAGACAAATACATCAAGAACCACCAGATTCAGGGGCAGAGTGGGGAGCTTTAATACATAAGTGATTTTTAGGGGAAGATTTCCCTTTGTACCATCTGTAGGCTACAGACAGTCAGCTGAGGCAATAATTTTGCTTGGCTTGGATGTTGTGTTTTGAAAGTTGGCAAATCATCTGTCAAGCACCTGTTAGGCATGCTGGTTAATGCATGAGCCTCTGTAGGGAATTCAGAAACAGTGAGCTCAAGGAGCTTGTCCCCTCCTGGAGAGAAAACTTGCATCAAAGACTACAAATCTACAGTATGAAACACTCATTTTGTTTGTCCTGCACAGTGTCTTTGCAATCATGTTAAAAGATCACATACAAAGCTGGGTATCTGGTTTCTTATGAAAAACTAGAAGATATAGGACCTTTGACCTGCATTACTGCCAGGCAGCCATTGGCTAGAGTGAAGGTGTGACTGCCCATTGGAGCTCCAATTTACTCCAGTCCCCAGAGCTCTCTGTTAGCTGACTCACTGAAAGGACCTCATTTACATTACCTGCCTAGCCCTTGGGGGTCATTTGTATTGGTGACTGCACCCGAGGACAAGCTAAGTCATGATGTACTGTTTCCTAGAACGCATAATGCCAATCGCTATGATGCAGGTGCTCAGGGAAAGGAGAAATCTGCAGAATTAAATAGTTGAGCAAAGCTTCTTAGACTTGGTCCTGACAAATGGGGAGGATAAGGATAGGTGGTTGGATGGATAATAAATGGACAGGTGGAAGAGAGGAAAGCATTTCCTTAGGGTTCTGGGATGGACTCGCTGCATTTGCATGGCAGGCCACGGCTGAAATTGTGGGAGCACAGATATGGCACTTTTCCTTTGAAATCTGAAAACTTGTTTTCAAAGCTGGGAGAAGAAATTTCAACTTATTTAAAGACAGTGGTATCTGTAATTTTTCTATTCCCACATAACTACCATTTTGCAGACAGCTTCCCAAGTTAACAGCATTAATCAGATAGCGATATTGCAAGAAGCTGCTCCCTTGAAAGTCAAACACAAAAATCATGTAACAGTAGGGCTTTATATTATATAATAGCTCCACTCTTGCTTGCTACAACTGCATTAATCCCAATTCCCTGGGTAGTCAGAATGTCTAAGTAATCTTTCTTTTCATTTTTTCCAGCTGGTTGTTGGTGCCCACCCCCCCCCAAAGAGAATGCTCCTCAAGCTTAAAGGGTTGCAGTTCCAAGCTCATATCCAATTTCTTCTGGACTGCATCTGAAATGACCTCAAAGGGATAATCATTTATTAACCCCTTTGATGATTTCCAAAGTTCAAGAATGAAACAAAAGAAAAGCCACCCGAAATGAAAGGAAAAAACATTGAACTTTCACCACACGAAGTCATTGATCCCTGTTTCTAGGACTTTACAGAGTGGCCTTTGCATTGCATTTTCTGTCTTCCGAACGTGACCAGCTGTGAGTGAAAAAGCCCACTTGCCATCTGATGACTCCAAAATGCAGCCTACCAGTCGGCAAACTTAACCCTTAAGTAAGAGCAGACAACCAGAAAACTTCAGATGCTTAGGGAATCCCTTCAACATGAAAGATGGAGATGATAACAAACAGTGATAAAGCAAATTGGAGGAGGCAGAGGCAATTCAGAAAGTAGAAAACTACCAATGAATATATGATTAGTCTCGTCAGTGTCTTCAGAGAGGTGGGAGCAATATCGTATCATGAAACAAGAATAAGGTGCAAAAACAACAACAAAAGGAACCATGAAAATTAAGGAAAAGTGCTTGAGAACTAAAGATACAATAAACTCAGTGGAAGATGTAAAAAATAAAGTTGAAGGACTCTTCCAAAAGGTGGGAGAAAATGTGTAAAGTGATAGATAAGAAGATAAAAAAAAATAAGGAATCAATCCAGGGAGTTATTTTTCTGACCAATGATAATTCCAGAAAGAAATTCCAGAAAGAAAAAGAAAAGAAAAATAATAGAGAAGAAATTATTAAAGAAATAATACAAGAAATTGAAGAAGACAAAGTCCCAGACAGAAAAGGCCCATCAAATACACAACATAATGAATTTTAAATAGATTCACACTAAGGTATAAAATCACTGAATTTCAATACACTGGGGATAAACAAAAGCTTCTGGGGGGAAAGTAGGTTACAGATCAAGAAATGGGAAATATGAATAGCAGGAGAGGTGGGAGGGCAGAGCTCAGTGGTTCAGTGCATGCTTAGCATGCACGAGGTCCTGGGTTCAATCCCCAGTACCTTCATTAAAATAAATAAATAAACCTAATTGCCTCTTTCCTCACCTCAAACAGAAAACAGAATAGCAGGAAGCTTCTCACATCGTCACCTAAACTAAGCTCGTAGACAGAAAGGAAATTTTGAAGGAAAGTTATTTCCAACTATTCCCTTAAGTTCCTAAGTAAACGTGAGCATAGAATAGACATTTTCATATAAGCAAGATTTCAAAATGCTTACTGCAGGGTCGGGGGAGGATATGGCTCACGTGATAGAGCGCATGCTTAGCCTACACAGGTCCTGGGCTCAGTCCCCAGTCCCTCCTCCAAAAATGAATCAATACGTAAAGCTAACTACTTCCTCCCCTCCGAAAAAATAAAAAACATAAAATATAAAATACTTACTGCCTGTGTACGCTTTCTCAGGAATTCTTGGAGAACACGCCCCACCAAAATGAGGATGTAAACTGAGAAAGGGGAAGACAGAGGATCCAGGAAATAGGAGAGGCAACGTAAGAGAAAGATGAGGGAGATTCTTGGGATGACAATGAAGGGAACTGTAGTCAGATTTTCAGTGAGCCTGGAGAGCAAGCCCAAAGTGGGGCTGGAGGACAGAAGCTCCTGGAGGAAGATCTACAAGAAAAAAAAAAAATGAAGCTGGACACAGAGCAGGCTTCAAGCTGAATGAGAAATTATCTCCATCCCCCACCGACATCTGATTTGACCATGTGGAAATTTACACAGAGGGGATGTTGAATCGTGTAGTTTAGCCATAGATACAGAGATAATTGATACAAAGATAACTGAGGAAAAAGAAGAAGGGGCAGGGGGAGGAGGGGAGGAAAAGGAGGAGAAAGAGGAGGAGGAGGAGGAGGAATAAGAAGAGGAGGAGGAGGAAGAGGAGGAGGAAGCAGGCCATCATGAATCACCTGAAAATAAAAACCAAAGGTTGAAATCATAGTCCTTAGGCTTAGCACGAACAATCTTTCAGTGATCACAATTATCTAAAACACTGAATATTGTTTTAAATTCTCTGTTGGAGGAGTTGGAAGCATTAAAGAAAGAAAAGAGGGTGTAAGAGATCTAATGCCTCATTTACAGTAAAGTTTTTAAAATAATGTCAGATCATTAAACAAGCAGCAGGATGAGCATATTATTTAAAAATGTAGTAAAAAAAAAAAGTACACATTGCAAGGAAGGGCTGAAAGGCTTGAATGCAGTTGCCTCTAGCGATCAGGATGCGGGGGAGGCGGTCAGGAAGCCACTGGACTGCTGTGTTGATAAGTATTTTTAGCACATTTGACTTGTTTCAACCCAGGGCCTATGTCACTTTGATTAAAATTTAAACTAGTTTACTATCAGAAATAAATAGTAGCCCCTAAGCAGTTTTAGAATAACTACGCACCTGCCGAGGTGAACTCTCAGAATGGTAACAGCTCACTTAGATGCGCCGTTTATGCATCTGGCATTTTATCAAGCAATTACCAACCCGGACTTCCAGCTCCTTCATGCACAGTTACCCATGCAGACAGACACTTGACCATAAGCTCAGGCAACAGCTGCTTCTGCCAGTCCTGTTTTGGGAAGAAGGAAAGTGGATGAGTTTGGCAAAAATAGGTGTCTGTGTGGGATGAGATATTTTTACCTTCATCTTTAAGCCTGCTACGTGTTCACCTACTATGACAGAAGCCCGAATTTTGAACAGTGTTGAAACCAACGACAAGTTCTCAGCCTCCTTCAGAGGGGTCTAGGCAAAGCTATAGAGAAATGGAATGAAACTGGCCAAATTGCTGAGATTTATAGTATTCCCTCCCAGCAGAAACCATCAGCTCGTTAGAAGAAAGCATCCCACCCAGAGATGCTAGAATGCTTCGCACTGAAAGGGGAGTGTTAGAAAGGACCTGAGACATCATGCAACTCAACCGTCTCTGGAGACCCAGAAACGCAAAGGTACTGGCCCCAAACTCCCCCACTGACTTGCATCAGAACCAGATCTAGAACCCTGGATGGGACTCCATACTGCCCATTTCAGTCCATGGATGGTAAATAGATACAAATGTTAGAGCAGGATTAGGATCTGAACACAGCTGTAATTCTGAAACTTGTGGTCCTTCCAATACTCCAAAATGCCTCACAAAGCAACAACATTAAAAGAGGAGTGATAAAATCCAATAAGTAAGAGGCTTACCTCTGCCTGAGCGGCCAACCTTTGGGGTTTAGACAATCCATGCGTTCAACAATGACTTAATGAGCATCTGCTGTGTCCTGAGGGGTTTCCAGACAGAGGTGCCTAGTGGACAGGGGGGTGCTGGGGTCTGGGACGAGAGATTTCAGAGTCACCGACATACAGGTGGGGATCACTGTAATACTGAAGAATGAGACTGGCCAGGGAGAATGAGTACACTGAGAAGATCCCCAGCAAAACCCTAAGGAGCATTGGCCTTAGGACAGGAGGAGTCGAGAACAAGGAAGTACCTGACACCTACACCTGTCTCTGGATAACTGCCTTCTATGTCTTGAACTGCAGTATGAGATCCCCATTGCTTGTTTTTCTCCTGAGTGTTAAACATGTGTTACAAGTATGTGTGGCCAATGCTTGAAGGGATGGAAGGAAGGAAGTGGGAGGATTTAAGGGTGAGCAAAGGCATTTGAGGTTCATCCTGGAGAAGCTGGCAGAACGGTTTTTGGACTTCCTGTGGAGAAGTAAGCTACTGCCCACTCTTCCCCCATCTTAGAACTTTCGCCACTAGCATGGGTCCCAGGGAAACCTGGGGAGGACAGGTGTTTCCTGGAAGGGTCAGTGTCAGGCCATCCACCCTTGCGCTAAATAGACCCAGTCCAGATCAGAGCGTATGCTGCTCAGAGCCACGTAGCGCAAAGGTTGGGTCAACATGCCCTTTCTCTGTGCCGAGGACAACGACCGAGGAGACTGGAGATGACCAGAAAGGTTATCATACGCTAAAAGCAAAGGGAAAAAGGCAATGACATTCACCTTTTACCTAGTTAAGTGTATTTCTCAAGGAAATGTTATTTTAGGAAAAACTAGAAATTCTAAGTAGGAAAATGTTGAGCTGGCCCAGGAGGAGTTGGTTGATTGTTAATTTTTGACTGGCCTGAGATGCAGGAGGTTTTATGAGCAAGGAGTTTCATGTTAATTTTTGACTGGCCCGAGATGCAGGAGGTTTTATGAGCAAGGAGTTCCAGATCTCTCCTCCATGTCCGAGTTACACTAGGCCCTTCCTGGAGGCTCTCCTTGGCTGGGACTTCATACCCAAAGGGAGCAGAGAGAGCCGGGAAACACTGCAGTAGAGAAGAAAGAGCCCAGGCTCTGGAGGCAGGCAGCCTCAGTTTGATCCCTGCCTTTCATCATTAATCCATGTGGCCTTGTGAGAGTTTTGTAAACTCTGTAAGTCTTGGTTTCTTCACCCGTAAAATGGGGATGACACTTACCTCAAAGGATTGAATGAGGTAGTATTTACTAAAAGGTACCAATAGGTACTCGACCAGGGCTCCCTCACCTCCCACTTCCTCCTGCTCACCTTACCCTTGAGATTCACCCATTATGTCACCAAGCTACTGCACCCTGGGCCTTGCGCACTCCAGTCATTGGGAATGAGCTGACATGCTTTCATAACTCTCAGCTGTTCACCCGGTTCTTTGAGAAAACATTGCATGTCTCTCTCTCATTAGAGGTAGTGGAAGCTTGATGAGTTTCCTGGTTTTTGATCATCTCAAAATCCCCAGGATGGCTCAAGTGCCTCAGTTAAGGACACCCCCTCCCACCCCCACCACACCCCACCCCACCCCCGACACACAGCAGCTAAGCAGCTGCTACTGGTCAGCATTGATGAGATTTCCCACTTTTGCTGCTGTGATTCACCAGCCATGGGTACCGTCTTGTCTGGTCTCTCTCCCTGGCATATGAGTGGTTCCTCATTTGCACTTCTTTCCCTGAAATTCATGCCCTCAAGCTCCTCCTGGAACCTGGATAAATTTAGCTCCTTTCAGGGACTTTTGCTAACTTGGTTCCATGACTAATGAAGATTTGGCTGCTCCCCAGAAAGAGTTTGGGGCTGGCTCCCCTCACTTGGAGATCTCATCTGGTTCCGATGACTGCTTTGTCCCTTGCATAATTGGTCATTTGAGTCAGCTCAGGCCATGGTATGCACTTTGAGAATCAACCAGTTCGTGTTCCTGGAAGCTGAAGTTCTGCATTCCCACTTTTGAGCCCTTGGAACTCCTTCCCGATTTTTGTTTTGCCCTGAACAGCCTATGGCTACCGCTCTTAGCCATCACGGTCATTTCTCATTAGGGCTGAGAAGGCAACTAATAAAGGCTTCTTGACTCTTCTCTCCAGGAGCAGGGCCTCAGGTCCCATTACCAGGATCCAGCACAAGGAAGCGCACTTAGCAGATGCTCATTTGATGTTTACTAATTTGACTTGGTCTCACTCAACCTGAGAGGCTACAGTCAGACTCCCTCAGTCAGCAACTAAATGAAAGAGAAATGCAAGCGGAGGCCATTGTGTGTTTAGACATGTTCATGTTCAAGGATCCAAATTAAGGCTCACGCATCCTGGTGAGCAGGTTTGTGCTGGACCTTGAAGGATGGGAAGGATTTGAATAGATACAGAGGGAATGGAAGGACGTATCAGGAGAAAAGACCAGCATGAACGCAGGGAAGTAGACCAGAGGCGAGAACTCGTA